CCCCTCACATGCAGTTGCTGCTGCCTTGCAACAAATTGCTGACATGGAGTTCTGACAGGCAGAGTTAGACCCATCACATTTTGTTAATGTTTATGGCAGATGAAACCACTAGGGTAAGGCCAGAGTAAGACTAGTCAAAGACAAATTAAGAAGAAAAAAGTCGGGGCTTGTGAAACTGGGATACCGGTGTTGAAGGAAAACCTCTGCGAGCCTCAAGTTATTTGTTGCATCAGCATGAAAGCTCTACTGATCGTGAGTCATAACATAATTGATTGGAGCGGTTGCACATGTGAACATGTCGGGCTCTTTGTTTCCATTTTCTACAAGCAACTAACGAGAGTCAAACTGAGGTTAAGGGCTTACCAACATGACTTCAGTGTAGCAGTGGCTGAAAGTCATTCTTCTGATGAGGCTGGTTCCCTTTCTACTTTCCCTCTTCGTACAGTGTGGCAGTACTAGTTTTGTGTGTTCAGTTATTGTGCATCTTAAATCAACCCCCCTCTCATCCTCAGAACTGGTTTCAAACATCTTAGATCAGGAGAAAAGGGAAAGTGCACCATTTCCTGCTGCTTCTGAAGTGCAGGTATTGAGCAGAGCAGAGATGCCAGCAGCCCACTTAATGCTAAATACTGCAGTCTTTTATCTTGAGAAAAAAATAAAGTGAGCTGAGAGCATAAAAAAAGAGCACTTATCTCCTCCTGGTCACTAATGGTGGTGACACCAGCAGCACTGACCTCATGTAATGTTCAGGGGCCTTTCAAGTTCCAAACCAGACTTTCAAAGAAAGCAGTCGAACGCAAATGTCAGACAAACAGAGTGGGAAAATAGTCTTCATTAATACAGCTTCAGCTTTCAAAATGAATATGGATCAGGGATGTAGCAAATGGAAAACTCCACCAAATTAATGTTTCATTTAGATCATTTCTATGGTGAATAAAAAACTGACAAATTCCTCACTTAGCCCAGAGTATCAGACCAACATTCGTTACAAGGGGATAAGATAAAATGAGGCATATGCAAATGCTTGCTGATATGAAAGGTTTGTTTACCAGCTTGTTTTTTTTTTTTTTTTTTTTCTCTGTTAGGATGTAACTGACAAGGCAGTCGAGCGCCGCAGCCACTAGCTGCTCCTCTGCCGATCCCTGGAAAGAATTTGTGTTGGTGTTTTCTTCTCATTCCACATTTGCATGAAAGCATCTAATTGCTGAAGATGCTGAGATAGCCTCAACAATCCAGCCCCTACTGCAGCTATTTGTTGTATACAGATATACACAGACTGGATTACGTTTATATTTATATCTACAAACTGCATCCGTATGTGGCACCGCGTTTGTATACAAGGCTTCCTGTGACGCTTGTGACATAAAAGCATAGGTATGTTTGTGTACAACAGCAGGGCCCTGGGAGGCACACCTTGCTTCAGTGGAGCTGTTATGAATGTTATTTGTTGCAGCTGTGTTTGACAGGACTAGAGAGAAGTCTGTTGTAAGACGCGGCTGCACAGGATGAACCAAATAAGCAACATACTGACAGTTTCCTAAACTGCTGCAGGACCATTAAGGGTCATTAAAAGGTTTATCCCCTGGTGGTTGGATTAGTAGATGGTGACATTTTGACCTGAGAGTGCTGTTAATTAAACTCCATGACAGTTTGTGCATAATCCCTGTGTGTCCACTTGATATGGTTGCAGCTAGTGTGCCACAGTCTACCCAGTCTACCCAGTTCACCAGTGTCGAAAGCTTCGCTCTGCTGTTTCTGTGTGCTGGCTCTGTATTTGCTGGAGCATCTCTAATGTGTGAAATTCACTTCCATGTTTGTGAATGTCTGTATTTATTTAGAGTTGAGTTAAAATTGTAATTCTAATGATGGATTTATTTGGGGCTGCCCCCTAATAGTCGAGAGACCTGAGTATGATGCAGTACTGACAGCAGTGGTGACAGACCTGTGACTGTCTGGATTTTGAGTGAATACAATGTAAAATGGAATGTATTAACACGTTGTGCTCAATATGTTTTCATTCTCTGTTTGTCCATCCAGGTGCCGAGTCAGTCTTTGTGCAGCTCCATGAGCGGTGTTGGACGACAAGAGTCCAGTGTTGGCTGACATTCTGAGCCGTTTGACATCCTGAGCTACAGATCAATACATCATCACCGGAGGTAAGAGAACACAGTAGATCAGATCCAGTTACCATATGAAGATGCATCAAAATGTTTTAGTTGTACAGATTTTATGCTCATATGGACAAAAACATGGTGAGCTGCCCTTGGTTAGTAGAAGCCTCAACAACAGACTCGTGCAAAATTACACGGAGGCGAAACGCCTGAATGAAATCAGTTGGGGTCTGAGTTAGTGGTGGAACGGTTCGAGTAAAAAATCCAACCTGTTCTGTTCACTAGTCACAACTCAAGGCGTGTATGTACTGTTCGGTTCATTTGAAGCAGGTTGAGGCATACAGAAAAAACATCTGGAGTTAGTGAGGAAAACAGCCCCATGTCAATAACCCAGTGACATTTAGTTTAGTGTCGAGCTCAGTTGTCAGTCGGTCTTGAAAATGGCACGTGAACAAGGCAGTTAGAGGATACACCAGTGTCGTTTTGGTCTGCTACGGAATTACTAATAATTCAGACCAAAAGCGAGATGCGAGATGCGAGCAGCGCGTTTAGGTCGTCAGAACAGCTGTCTGTCTGTCGGCAGGACAGCGCCAGACAAACAGTCCTCACCGGGCTGCCTGATGACAAAAATAGTTTCCTGTAGACTGGTCAGTGATAATGTCAGCTTTGCCTGCAGTTTGTCATCCACCGTCAGTTTGTCAGGCTCTACTGTAAAGCTGAAGTAACGGTTTTATTTGTACATTAACCTAGAGTAAGAAGTCATTTCCTCTGAACTGTCAGTCTCTGTTAGGGAAATGAAACTGTTAATTACTTTTTTATTTGAGTCATATTTAAAGTTTAAGAAAACCCACGTTAAAGAAGTCCAGTCCACTACATGTATGATGTAATCGTGTTAATCATCATTTCAATATTGACCAAAATAATCAATATGATTTTTGCCATAATCATGCCACCCTAGTGATGTGTGTGGGGAAAAAAATAAATAAAGATTTTTTAAAATTATTTTATTTAAAGCAGTGATCAAAGACGTTGCCTCGCTGTCCCGGGAACCGAACAACATGCAAATGGAACAAACAGCAGCGTTGAGTCCTTCAGCCTGCTTTACCAAAAACAAACCGAACCATGAATATTGTGAACCGTTTCACCCCATCTTTATATATACTAGAGACATAACTTGTCCGTGTATGTGTGTTTGATAAAAAGTGACTTTACAATATTAAATACAGGTTTAACACAGTTTGAATAGTTAAAAATTATCATACAAAAGTTGTTACATATATAATATTTGATAAATAGATAAAGGTAGGATTGGCAATCCTGGAAAAACAAATAAGAGGAAGCTCCAAGTAGCCAAATCCCACCCTTTTGTCCAAAACACAATGTGCACTGCCTGACTACTACTTACAGATTTCAGAAAAATAAAGGCCCCCCCAAACAAAACCAAACCAAACCGGCAGAAATACGGCCTGTTCAGCCCCTTTTGTTCTCTCAGTTGTCATCGTTCAAAAGCCACAATAATGTCAATTCTGGTTTTACTTCTTGCAGCATCCAACTTCTTTTTAGTTGTAACTTTCTCGATTATGGTGTTACCCGCCCAGATCTGCAGCGCCAAACTGTATTTGGGGACCTCAGCTTTAGCCCTGGCTCGTAGCCGGTAACTAGCCTTAGAGGTCTGGGCTTTTGTGAAGAGGGAGGCCGACTAAGTCTGTTCAAAAAACACAGGCTTTATTCCATCTTGGTAACATGAACACTGCGTGTGGCCTTTGATGCCCAGTTAACTGCATTACAGTCCTATCTATCTACTTAGAGCTGATTACTGTTGGTACTTTCCTCGTGGCTGCGTGTAAAAGGAGTCTGTTCCATGCGGCGGTCTTCTTGTTCTCGTACTGCAGGTAGCAGTAGGAAGTTAGACTGACAGGCAGGTAGGCCGTTCAATGGTTCTGCTTAGGACAAGTAAAATTATTGGTCAGGGTTTTTTCAGCCTCGTCGGTGCATTTAGTGTATTCATTGCCATCAAGATGAAAAGAGAAATTCAAGATATGTAACAAAAATGCTTCTGAAAAGAATCACCAACCCGACAATAATCAGATGAAAAGACATTGAGGGCAGGAGCACAAGAAAGGAAAACTGCAGACATGCTCTAAAAAAATCACTTCTTTACTCGGTTAAAAAAAATCAACTCCAAGTGCGTTTGTAAAACTTGAAAAATTGTTTAATTGTAATTTGCATAATTAATAATATAAAGATATGTTACATAAAGGTCGGTCACAAACAGACATGAAACTTACTGTAGCTTCACAGTAGTAAAGGAGTGAATTAATATGGATTAGATACCATCAGTAGTATGGTGATGGTGACGGTGAGGTTACAAAGCAGCCCAGAATATAAACACTATGTAGGGATGATCAGTTGCATATCATTTATCCCCCATGTACCGGTAAAGCATTTTGCTTTTAGTGCATATACAGTAGGGCTGCATGAGTAATCGTATGGAGGGTGTGATATAGATCCGTGTGCGATCTCAGTCTCACCTGACTGACTGTGCCATTAGCACCGAGATCCCTTGCATCAAACCAAGTGCTCCCTTTTCCTCACTAAGCTGCATTAACCAATAGTAGAAATGCGTTACATCAGGTGACGAGCTGTAGACAATCGGAGAAGACAAATCCAACATGATTGATGTTGTGAAATATTCTGTGCAGTCCTGCAACTATTATTGAAACACTGCACTGCCTGCCATGTACACCTAGTACCGAATAGCAGTTGAGGCAGAAATAAATCACTTTGCAGTTACTAGTTGTTGTTATTGGTTAACCAAGGAAAAGGGAGCGCTTGGTTTGATGCACGGGAGAATGATGGTCACACGAGACTGAGATCGCACAGGGATCAAAATCACACTCACAAAATGATGAACCATGCAGCCCTGATATACAGATGTATAATAGGCTGTTTTCATTCCAGAGGACCTGAGCAGATATCAGAATGTCAGACTTTTAAATGTAGGTGCAGGGAACAACAAATCACGTACGTTCTAAAGTTCCTCCAAGCCAGAGGCAGTTCTTCAAAGTCTGATCAACAGTAGTCTGTCAAATTCCTGGAACAGACTTTCTAATCAGTCAAATCCATCCTTGTCACAGAGCACCGCCCACTCCAGTGTTTTGCGTTGATCTAGTTAGGTCCGTGTTGTTTTTTCCAGCGTTGCTACTGAGCTCCAGTGGGTCTGGAAGTCAGGAGGACTTCATTTCAGCTCAACTAATTTCAACTCGTTATCTTTTGCTGGAGCTCAAAGCTGTTAGTTTGTTGTCTTGGCAAAAACAAGTGTTTTTCTCTGTCAGTATGGCAGAGTGCATGGCTGACATCAAGTTGAGCCCTGGAAACACAGAGCCACATGGCATGGAGTCTGCCAGCTGTCTCAGGGAATGTCTGACCACACATGTTCTCTGTGTCCCTCTGCAAGGGACAAAAAGAACATGTTGATCAAGTTTCCGTATGATTCATATGTTCCATTTTCTGTTTGCCTGTTGAGAACAGTAGTTGTGTCCTCGGTCTGATCCATGTCCTTTCACAACCCAGTTTTTGGCAGCTTGTCTTTACAGTGTCACCCACTGTCTAAAGTCAGAGTTTCTCCAGTGAAATCCCGCAAGAGCAGGTGGATATGTTGTCATCTCAGTTAGGGTGTCCCATTCAGACACATGTCCCTTGATGGGGCACGACGTGTTTGCGGTGCTTGAGACCCAGGCTTCTCTCCTTGAAGTCCATTGCTCGCTGTTGTGATGTGTCTACAAGAGCACTGGCTATAGCCACACCTAGAGAGAAGACACACACACACAAACAGTTTAGATGACCTGTGTTCATTTCCTGTCCATCTCAGAGAATGATAGACCGATTAAAAACTAAACTAGCTTTAATTTTACTAGTGAAAATATAATTTACACACTATTTAATAATTGGAAAATTAAAACAGATAGAGGTGGAGCATGAGTAGAGCTCATTAGACAGCTGATGGCTAGCCGCCTTAATTATACATAACCTTTAGTCTCACTATAACTTAAACGGACAAGTTATATGAAAATTCACCCCCAGTAAATTGTCATGGATGGGGAGATTATGGAGACCAAACTGCTGTTTGTACCAGGCTGTAAAATTTGGCATTTTAACATGGGAGTCTATCAAGTCCCTTTTGGAGCCAGCCTTGCAGGTTGCCGCTTGGTTCTGACAAACAAATTACAGAAGATGGAAAGGGCAGAGACTTTGAGCTAGACTCCAAGCGTTGATATTTTTTAAGTAACCATTTAGATTGAGAATAGTTAGTCAACCTAAGTAATGCCAATTTAGAAATCTGCTCCAATGTTTTCTGAGATGCGAGCTAGTGGACCAATTAGCAGCCTAGAGATCGATCAACCAGTCACCACACAACATGCACAACTGATCGATCAACCAGTCACCACACAACATCCACAACTCCAAATTTCATCTATACAGCATGTAGTTGAGATTTGGGAGGTGTGCATGTTGGCCCGTCCACAGCCACCAGTGACCTATTGGCTGTGTAGGTACATGTAGTTGTGGTATAAAAGCTTAAGTACAAGCCCTGTGAAAACACTGACACTATGGTGATGTGTGACAGGTGGAGATGCACAGTCCTGCCGGTCGGCACCTCCTCACATCAGGGCCCATTTTATCAGCGTCTCCTCAGCTGGTGCTGTCTGGTTGAGGTCACTGAAGCGTGTCTTGCACCGTCCTGTCTCCCTCTAACACTCAGCACGATGTCACGCCGCGCTATATCTAACATTGGACTGGCTCTGCACAGCAGGGCTTACAGAGAGCAGGATGCACCAGCGCATCAGATGCTTCAGAGCATTGTTACTTTGGCTGTAGCTGCTGCTGTTAATGTGGATTTAGAGTCATGGCAGCTCTTGCGAGTGCAGTTTGTCCTGTCGTTCCCTCCCAACAATCGTGCGTCTGACAATGCATGGCCATTATGACAAGAGCTCAATCTGCCAGTGTGCAGGAGCCAAATAAACAAAACAGGAAAACAGTGGAGGGAATCTGCTGTGCTCTTGATATGGTTTGGATGCAGGATGCAACATTTCACACTCAAGTGATTCTTGGAAATTTTTTGTGGGTTGGTGGAGAGGGAAAGCCGATTACAGAGTCGCTCAGTGTGTGCAGACGTGACTCTGCAGGTTTATGTGTGTACACACTGGAGGTGTGTGCACATATAGATTCTGCAAAGTTCTGACCCACCAAGCTATACAGACAGAAACGACAGCCAACATCCAAGACAATGGAAGGACAACAATTGTCAAGCAGCATCTGGTTCATTATCTCTGTTAGTTTCTCTCTGGCAGTGGTTTTATAGGTGTACTTCTTTCGACTACTTCATATTATACCATAGATTTGCCTTCCTCATGTGCTTTATGGTAATTTGTGGTTTTAGTCCAGATGGTGGTTGTGACTCTTTGCTAATCTTTGTTTGTACAACTGCCACTTTAAAATGATTAATTAGTTGTCTTTGAATATACAGTACATGATCCATGTTTTTGGGATATTTGCATCATTTTTTATATGTTAAAACTTTTACTGATACTCATTTTCTTAGTGGTCAAGGGAAAAACATACTGATGTTTCAGTCATCAGTGTATCGTTAAAAAGCTTAAAGGTCCAACTGGCAGCATGAAACCTTCCAACAGATAATCCAAATTATAACTGATAATGACACAAAGTTAGGGGATGTTGTACCCCGTACTTTTTACCATACGGACTCAGAGACGAGGCAGTCCAAGTAACTACAAAACAGTGCTGATTTATTCCATGAACACAGGTAAAAATTAACATTACACGCTCAGGTATCTTGCACCTCCAAACTGCTCGCAGGAAGATGAAAGAGCCTGAACCACAACAGGCCTGTACATTATATCTGTTTTGGGCTAACCCCATTCTACACAGGAACGTCAAACTGTGACGTCACCTGATATGCCAGCTATGCAGCTGACCAGAGCAGTAGTCAAAACATGAAGCAAATCAATGTGTGTGAGTGTGT